TAAAAATAAAAATACTTAAAACAATAATACTTAAAACAATAATTCAATATTTCTTCTCTTTTTTCTCCATCAATAAAGAGAGGATTATGATTTTTAACAAAATCCAAAAAGACTAAATCGTAACCAATCCAGAAAATCAAAACCGAACCAACTTACTCACAATATAATTACTTGGAAGATCTGAAGTCCTATGTCTTTATGAGCCTCTCTCGAATAATTCTATTGCGAGTAAATTAGTTCTTATCTTTCTCTCATCGTCGTCATTAGTTAATGAGATCATGAAGAAAAGAATCAACTTATTCGCGATGAGATTACTCGAGATAAATTCATTAATAAGATGAGAAAGAGAGGAAATTAAAGATTAAAGTTTTTTTTTTATTTTTTTTTAATTTACTTTTAATAAAAATGGTTAAAATATTATAAATGCCATGAGGTTTTGAGTCAACGTTTGTAGTTAAGGATAAATACATATAAATTCATTTTAGCAGTGACTTTCGATTTTGCAGGTTTGACTTGCATATTTTTTAAGTTGAGGGTTATATTTGCACACAAAAAATAGTTCGTGGGTTGCTTTGCATAAAATCATTTTAATTTTGGTCACAAATATAGAGATGTCTTATATCGCGGGGTTATTTTGACTTCAGAGGTTTGATTTGCACAACTTTAAATTGAGGGTTTGATTTGCAAAAAGAATTTAGTTTGAGGGTTGTTTTGCACAAAACCCAAAAAATTATTACAAAATTTAACTTAATTTTTTGTGCTTTCACAATTTATAAGTTTATATTAAATTAACAAAATATTAAGCTATTAATTCATTTGAAAGTAAGCACATTACAAAAATATGAAAAGTAATTAAAAATAAAATGCATTAATCTAATATGAATTGAAATGATTGGAATTCTGAAATACCTCTTGTCCGCGCGGGCGCGGGCCAACTACCTAGTTATTTAAATAACTAAACAATTTTATATGACTTTAATCCAACAATAATGGAAAATTTTCAAAACTCCATATTTTGTGTGTCAATTTTCAAAATTACACCTTTAAGGTGTTTATTTTCAAAACTAGAAGGGCTTGAATTGATGATTTTAGAGGATTTTTTTTTTTTCAAATTATTTCTTATTAGACTAGTATTTATAAAAGTCATTCAAAATCCAAGGTTATTGGATTGATCATATATATAAATTCTTTAAAATCCCACCTTATTGGAAAATTAGGATTCATCAAATAAATATGTCAAAAAAAATTTTGAGTAATTTGTATTATTTTTTTTAGTTATAAATAATAAAAAATTCAAATACCACCTTATAATTAAGATGATATTTGAATAAATAAACAATTGAATTACCATTCCCTTTTTCCTTATGGCATAAAAAATAAGGAAAGATTTAAGGGTAAATTTTCATTAATTTTCTAAAAAGTAATCTTAAAGAATAGGATTATACATTTATACAGCAGTAATATTAGTCTTAGACGTGAAAATTTTGTGGTACTTAAAGATAAACAAAACATGGGTTTTTAATGGTCAAGTTACTAAACAAACATTGAGATAAATGTTAATTGTTTAAGAATTCAAATAAGGTAAATATATAATTGGTTATGATTTGGTCATCTTATTTTTGTTATAAATAATACATGATCAATTATATACCTTCTTTATCAAGAGACGCTGCAAATTTTCATCCCTACACTCTTTTTAATGGTAAAATTACTAAACTAACCTCACAATTATAACTAGATATTTCTCTGTCGTCTCTCGCTTCTTTCTCTGACGATCCCTCTCCTCTTTCTCCGACGATCCCTCTAGTCTTTCTCCGATGATCTCTTTCGTCTTTCTCACCAACGATCTCATTTCTCTGACGATCTCATTTCTCCGACGATCTCACTCGATTCTCCAACGATCTCGCCGTCGTTTCTCAACAATTACAAAGGATCTCGCAATCATTTCTCAACAATTACAAAGGATCTCGCCGTAAAAATCCTTTGATCCGCTTCATTATGATCGTCTCAGGCTTCTTCTCCCAGGCACGATCTTCCCTAAGCACGATCCGAGATGGCATTAAGTTTGGTAAAAAAAAAATTTTGATTATTGGTTTTACAAAGCTTTGTAAACTGCATTCCAAGGTTTTAGATTTTACAAAGCTGTGTAGTCTGTAAACATAGTCATATCCCAAAATACTCTTCACAATGAAGATGATGGTTACGAAATGATGCTGGTTATCAGTTTGGTAAAAAATTCCTTTTGATTATTGGTTTACAAAGCTTTGTTAATTGCATTCGAAGTTTTTAGATTTTACAAAGCTGTGTAGTCTGTAAACATAGTCATATCCCAAAATAATCTTCATAATAAACATGCTGGTTACGAAATGTGGTTATTGATTATTGATTTTACAAAGCTTTCGTTTTGACTGTATTCCAACATTTACAAGCCCTTATAAATCTGGTTATTTTTTGTGTTTTGTGCAGACTGATGATAAGTTCACCACAATGATGACGCTTCCTAATAGGCATTATAAGCCAGGGATAGAACCTGACATTATTCAATACCTAAAGAAACTGATATGTCATCTTCAGAAGATATCATTGGGAAGGTATTGACTGAAGTGCAACAAGACAATGCTCGAGAACGAGACAACCAAAACGAGGAGATGGAAACAGAAGAGATGGAAGCCGAGAAGGTAAGAGCTAAGCATAATGAAGCTGAATTTTGCAAAGGCTTGTAAAAAATAGTTGTTGCTTTCAAATTCCTTTGTTAATGATACTAATTTTTTTTTGGGGCTCTAGTTCAGAATAATGAGTTCGTAAAGGGAGTAGAAAAATAAGCTGAGATGGAAAAAGGGCAGAAGGAAACAGAGGTGATGGAAACCGAGAAGGTAAGAGCTAAGTAAAATGGAGCTGAATTTACAAAGGCTTGTAAAAACATAATTGTGCCTTTCAAAATTCATTTCTTAATGATAGAAAAATAGTTAAAAAGTTAAAACATAATTGTGCCTTTCAAAATTCCTTTCCTAATGATACAAAAAGATATCTTCATTAATGATACAAAAAAGTTAAAAAGTTAGAGCCCAACAAAAAGTTAGTATCATTAAGAAAGGAATTTTGAAAGGCATAATTATGTTTTTACAAGCCTTTGTAAATTCAGCTCCATTTTGCTTAGCTCTTATCTTCTCGGTTTCCATCCCCTCTATTTCCTTCTGCCCTTTTTCCGTCTCAGCTTCTTTTTCTACTCCATTTCCGAACTCATTATTCTGAACTAGAGCACCAAGAAAAAATTAGTATCATTAACAAAGGAATTTGAAAGCAACAACTATTTTTTTACAAGCCTTTGTAAATTCATCTTCATTATGCTTAGCTCTTACCTTCTCGGTTTCCATCTCTTCTGTTTCCATCTCCTCGTTTTGGTCGTCTGGTTCTCGAGCATTGTCTTGCTGCACTTCTGTCAATACCTTCCCAATGATATCTTCTGAAGATGACATACCAGTTTCTTTAGGTATTGGATAGTGTCAGAGGTTCTGTCCCTGGCTTATGATGTCTATTAGGAAGCGTCATATTGTGATGAACTCAGCAGAAAACACAAAAGATTAACCAGATTTATAGGGGCTTGTAAATGTTCCAATACAGTCAGAACGAAAGCTTTGTAAAATCAATAATCAATAACCAACATCATTTCGTAACCAGCATGTTTATTATAAAAATTATTTTGAGATATGACTATGTTTACAGACTACACAGCTTTGTAAAATCTAAAAACTTCGAATGCAGTTTACAAAGCTTTGTAAAACCAATAATCAAAAAGAAATTTTTACCAAATTTAATGCCATCTCGGATCGTGCTCAGGGAAGATCGTGCCCCGGAGAAGAAGCTTGAGACGATCGTAATGAAGCGGATCAAAGGATTTTTACTGCAAGATCCTTTGTAATTGTTGAGAAACAACGTTGAGATAGTTGGAGAAAGACAAGACGAGAGGGATCGTGAGAGAAAGACGAGAGGGATCGTTGGAGATAGAAGTGAGAGACGACAGAAAAATATCTAGTTATAATTGTGAGGTTAGTTTAGTACAACCCTACGCACTTTGGGATCTCTAAACAGACAAACAAAAACTCAACACTAAGACAATAGATCCGAAGAGTTTGTTGCTGCATCTGTTATAACAAGTAAGCACAACCCTACCTACTTTGGGATCTATATTTTCAGATTCATGTCGAGAACAGAGCAATTCTCTTTAAAGCATTACCAAACAAAAATTCAGCCCTAAGAAAATACATCCGATCCTATGTACTTTGGGATCTCTATTTTTAGATTCCTGTCGAGAACTAGAGATCATATCTGCAACCATTCACTCCAAAATACACATGTTTGCAGATAGACCAAAAAGCAAAGAGAAAACCTGATACAATTGAGACATTGGACAAAAGTATATCCAACAAGTTTTTATTCATCTGATCTGGCCATCACATAACATACCTCATGTCATCATTACTTGCGAATATTAAAACGATGAAAATGAAATATAATTACCAAGCTTAACAAATTTTTTATTAGCTTGTAATTTGATTAGACATAGTAGGGAATAGATTAAGCAAAAAAGGAATGGCATTGAAGCTCTGCTGCTAAGTACAGAAAAGCTTCGATACATACATTCATTCACCATCCTGCAAAGAAAACACACCAAACCAATTAAAGGATTTATCTGGAAACTGCTGCTGAAGGACTGTGCAAATAGATTCATATACATTCATCTCGGAAAAACCCCAAAAGAAAAGTAAATAAACTAGAGACACATACCACACTCATCTGCAGATCCACCAACATTGCCTCTGCCTTTTGTAGTTCCTCCTACTGCATAAACCGGCTAGCATAATGCGGAAAGTAATGGTATCAGGAGCCACACCACTAGAAATCATCTCCTGGAATTTCTCTAAGGCGCCTCTATAATCACCAACTTGACAAAACCCATGAATCAAAGTGTTGTAAGGTAACTGTATCAGCAACTATTCCTCTTAGATGCATCTCTCGGAAAAGCTCCAGCTATTATCAACCCTTCCTGCCTTGCAGTAGCCATTAATAAGTGTATTAAATGTCACCACGTCTGGAGAGCAGCCCTCGCTAGCCATCGAATCAATCATCTGTTTCGCCTCATCTAGGCGACTCTGCTTGCAAAGCCCCTCTACCATCGAGTTATAGGTGATAGTATTAGGGACTACACCTTTCGGAGCATCTCCCTGTATAATTCTTCAGCCCTTAAAAACTTCCCTTCTTTGACAAATCCGCTGATCATATATGTGAGTTTGAACATCAGGTTCACACCATCGATGGGAAGACTAGTGAATAAGTCCCATGCTTCGTCCACCTTACTATCCTTGCACATTCCATGATGATGATGTTATAAACAGCAGTATTCAGATCCATCTTACTCTTCTGCATAACCTTGAACATTTCCAATGCCTTTTCTACTTTCCCATGATTGCAGAGACCTTCCAGCAAAATGTTAAGAGTTACGATATCAAGCACACACCTTGAGAAATCATCTCCTGAAAAGGTCTTGAGCAGCATTAAGATCGAGACAGTGTCACCGACCTTACACATTCCATTCACAATTGTTCCGTAAGTAATAATGTCAGGATGATAACCTTTTTCAACCATCCGATCAAGCAGAGCTACGGTCCCTCACGGCAAAGACCATTCATCAAAGTAGTAAATGATACTACATCAGCTTGACATCCCGTTTCAACCATATGATCAAACAAAGCTAGAGCTTTCAGAGATCCTATCTTCTTGACATAATCCTTGGAGCAGCGTGTTAAACGTGACAATGCTGGGCTGGAGACCAAGTTTGGTGATCTTGCCAAACATAGACAAAGCAAATGGCAACTTGTGGCAGCTGCAGAAACACTTTATTATAATGGAATCCGACGCATTTCCTTCTTCTGATAGAGAGAAACCACAATGTCTGGTCGATTCATCCTCATGATGACACCCATTAGCTTGTTGAAATCAATCACGGAAGGGAAGGGATGACACAATCATCGAACAAATCAGTGGCATTATCTAAGCTTAAAACCCACTTTGCAATTTCAAGCTCTCTCCTTCAAAAGTGATTGACTAACCAATTGAACCTTTCTGCGCGACGCGACGATGAACCAATCTCGTACCGATCAATCTAGCAGCAGCAGCAGAAGACGAAGACTCAGATTCCCAAACCCTAGACAACATTGTAGCTTCGCTTCCTTATCGATCGATCTCTAAACTCTAACCAAATGAGCTAACGAAGTGACTGACTCAGCGACTGTAACTTTGTGAACCCTTGGTTGGAGACTGAGCATCACAAAATGACGACCGGTTCAATTAGTCGGCACGGTTATCGGTTTAATTCGATTCACTCAGTGATCGGTTCAGTTGGATTAGCTCGTTGACCGGTTCGGAATTAACGAAAGTATACTCTTGACTTGTTATGACTTATGAACAACATTCTTTTTGTTGATAAAATTGTTATGAACAACCTAATCCAAAAATGGATATTCACTTTGTTCCTCTCCTTAAAGGTTACAAAGGAGAATATTTTCCAATTTTTACACAACCAATATACAAAAGCACAAAATAAAGCTAAAACCTTAAAGAGAACATTTTTCGAAAATATTGTATCATTCTTCTTGAAGAGGGCTTCTTTAGTATCTAACCACTGATCTTGCTAGCAAAAGTGTTTGGATCAACTCTGGTCAGAAACCATCACTACAGGAAAAACGGGTATTAACAGCGTCGGAAAAACGCTATCAGATGATATCATAGCGTTGAGTTCGACGCTGTATCATCGACCGCGATAATAGGTTTTTGTAGATGCGATTAAATAGTTTTGTATGATAGCGGTTATTAATATGCAATTAAATACTATTAAATAGCAGATTGTTATTGTTATTAATTCTATTTCGACAGCGTTATTTATGTGTTACGTCTTATATTATTATAGCGGTGTAGGTTTGTTATGTGTTAATATATTGTAGCATTTTATTTGCGTTATTAAATATAGTTTTTTATATAATACAAATAAATTATTCGTCTAATTTCGTATTATATATTGAATTTATTAGAAAAAAATAAGTCGTTAAGTTGCACAAACAGATAATATAACTAAGCAGAAACAGATATGTTGCATAAAAAGGTCAAAAGATTCAATAATAGTCATACATAAGTATCATAAATGGATAACGTAGGAGATAATTTTCAATGCAACATGAGATTGTCATTGCAAGAAAGATAACAAGGATGGAGATTTCAAAGCAAGATGAGTTTATCATTGGGCCAAGCGACTGTTGTACCCACATCATCAGATACGAACTCCACTTCCGAGTTTGGTCGCCACACTCGCGCATCATCAGATTTGCAAACCTCAATCCACACTTTACTAGCATTTATTCCTAACGGGACAAAATGAACCTTATCTGCTGGATCAGTTGAAGATATCCGACCTTGTGCAACTGTTTCTCCTGACCCATCACAGTCTAGCAAGATACACCTCTGCTTCACTCCTTTGCTACTGCTGGTACTATTACTTGCACTCTGGTATCCAACAGTTTAGATAGACTCATCACTTAACCATTATAAGTATTTTTAACAGATTTAGAGAAAGCAAAGAACGTTACCAGCGGTGATTTCCTTGTTGTTTCTTCAAGTGGTATGGCCGGACTCATCAACTGTACTTTATGCATAGGCCATGCAATGTTCTTGTCAAGTGCATCACCCAACTCCGACATTTCTGCGCTTGGTCTCCATAAGAAAGCCTTCTCTTTCATAACTACTGCAACCTTCACTATTGCGGAATTCGGACCAAGAGGTATATTGTCCACTAAATCTTTTGGGTCTGTTGAACACAAAAAGCCTTCACCAATAATCTCACCATCCAAATTCCAATCATAAATATGAACCCTACCAGCTTATGCAGTCTAAGTAGTTATGCCAAAAATTAAAGTCAAAATCCATTCAGACCACAAGACTAAATTCTACATTATTAAGTTCAGGGAGAATCTTACCGTTGAACCTTCTATATTCGTCTTAGGTGAGTCCATATCACTGTCCAATATAATTTTCTCAAATGGCCATGCCACTTTCTGTCTCATAGTGTCACCAAGTGTCAGAATAGTTGAGGAGGGCCTCCAAAGATACGCTTCTGGTCTTACTGCTGACTTCACCATGACTGCTGCTGCATTAGGACCCAGTGGAATACGACCAATTTTGTACATTGGTTCAGCAGAGCAGAACTCCTCTTCTCCGATAACGACATCATCAGAAGAACACCAATCAAGTATGTGACACCTAACCCCACCTTTACTAATGTCACCATGCTCAGACCTAGAAACATTGTCACTGTCTCTCTGAGAAGTCTGCAAAGCAACGTAACCAAACACTCAGACGCCACAATATGGCAAAGAAGCAATAAATTGTGACTTGTGAGTAACAGAGACTACTTACGTTTCTTCCTGTTAAGTTGTTGAAAGCACTCGTCAAATCGTCAATCTTGCTGAGCAATTGCGCCTGTGTTGCTTCCAGCTTCTGAACGTGTGAGTCCCTAGCTTGTAGGAAAGCTAGTTTAGTAAAAGTAAACCCTTTGCCCATCCCTCTGAGTCTCCCAGGTTTGTCTTTTCCTAAAACTTGACTCACAGCATCTTCTCTGATATTAACATTGGCTGTGGACTCCAATTCACTATCGATGGATTTTACCTTCTCCTGACATAATTACATGTCCACAATCATGATTACTATAATCTAAAAGAGTAAAGAACCATCAACAACAAAGTCAAAGAACATCTTACAATCGTCTCTGCGAATTCTTCTATTACAGGTGTACCGTCAGCATGGGTGTGTCCTGCCACCCAGACCTTACTCCTAGTCACTCTCCGTGGGTCTGAACTTTTTTTCTTCTGCAAGTATTACAAATTGCTCATCATATCTTACTCAAGCGCATAAATATATTATGAGCAAGCCTAACTTTATTTAATTGACATACCATTTCATGAGCAAGCCTAACCATTCCTTTGCGGCTGGTAGTGTGAGGAATCTGAGACCTCCTCATCTGTCTATATTTTTCACTCTGCACTACACATATTCAAGATAAATAAACATAAAGGCTGCTACGGACTGCACTATTTTAAACATCATCAAACGCATACTTTAAAGGCTGGACTAACTCTATGCTTAACCCAATTGTTCCAAGCTGCTACGGACTGAACGTTTGTCGGTTTTAGCTTCTTAAGTGCCATCTTACATCTGGTAGAACGAACCTGCTTAGTCAGCCTAGATTTAGAACACTTCCACAGACCACCCATCTGTTTTAAAACCGATTCTTTTTGCCACTCCTCTGTCAAATTGAATCTCCCCTATACACAGATATTCAAAGAAGTAAACAGATGTCCATTTAATGTTAAGAAATAAGCATATAGAAGAAGCAAACTTCACCTGAACTTCTTCCCACAATGTGTCCCTTAACTCGTCGTCAAGATGTCTCCAATCATCAAGTAAAACTGATACGTGCTCCCTTACAAGAGGTCCAAGAAAGGAAGACAATGTTACTGACCCTACCCCTACATGCTCACCCACAGATGTGAATTCCACTTGGACCTTGTCATCATGATGCTTGGCGACTTTACGCATCTTTGTTGGTCCTCTAGTTTTCTTCTTGGTTGTCCCTGACTGTTGTGTTTGTGCATCTTCAGCAGATACTTCATCTTCTACATCATCTTCTCTGGTATCCTCATTGTTCTCAGATGCCTCACCGTCTTCATACTCTTCAAATGTGTTGTCTCCTTCTTCAGAAACATGTTCCTGATTATGTGTACCCTCAACCAGTGCTTCCTCTGTGACGTCAACTACTTTCTTGGTTTTCATTCTTTTCATCTTCGACATAACTGGAGTAGCCTCTACTCCAGCTTGTCGCTTGCTATAACGGATTCCCTCTGGAGCCATCACTGATCACATGAAACATAATCAACGTTTTCATTAATATGTGCAGCCTAATCCATTACAAGTACTCCTTCACAGTCATCCCTAACACAGAAACTCTCGTCATCATCACTGTGGTTTGTCAAATCTTCATATTCTTGAACTGTCGCATTTGCAGATAGGAATTCCTCTTCTATCTCCAGCTCATGGTACCCTCTAGGAGGCGCCCTCATAACTACATACCAAGGAGATATATCATCTTCGCGGGAGTAGAAAACTTGTTTCGCTTGAGATGGTAAGATATACGGGTCTTGGAGAAAGGCGGACTGGTTCATATGGAGGTTCACTAGTGTAAAGCTATCTTCCTCTTTCACTCCATTCCCTTTGTTGGCCCAAACACACTTAAATAGTGGAACTTGGAACATATGGTAATCCAACAAGATGATCTCCTTCACCACACCGTAGAACAGAACTATGTCTGCCATGTCTCTAGAATCTCGAGCACTAGACCTACACATCGAGAATGCTTCATATGTGACTCCACTATTTTGAGTTTTCCGCTTTACGTCGTCTATATGGAATCGATTTCCATTGACAATATATCCCTTGTACGTCTGTGCAATATGGCGTGGTCCATATGCTAGCCATCGAAGCCTAGTGGAGTGATCTGCTGAGTTAGTTGGAATCTAGACCAGAAAGTGTCATAAGTATTAGCCAAAGAGTACAAGTAAAATATCTAGATGAATACGGTTTCATATATAATTGAATACATACCTTTTCTCTTATCCACTTTGAAAACTTTTGATTGTGGTTTTTCCATAAAAGTGTTTCGTTTTTTGTGAGTTTAGCATCTTTACTCTGTAGTTCTTCCAAATGTTCCCTGCATATGCGGACCATAATGTAGTCTTCATAATGTAGTCCAAAAATATATATTATCAATTGAAATCATGATTAAAATGCACTTACTCAATGTAAGGATCCATTACTGCCGTGTTCATTAGAACATAACGGTGGGTTATGTCTCGCTCTTTTTCTGTGAGTGTGACCTCAGTAGCTTTCTGTAGAGGACGACCTTCAAGTACAAGATGATCGGATTCAATATCTTCATTCCGATTGACTGAATCTTGCATCGGTATTGAGTTCTTGAAGAACTCTAAACAGAAGGCCAAACATTCTCCAGCTAGGTATCCTTCCGCCATACATGCTTCTGGCCTTGCAAAGTTTTTCACGTAATCCTTGAGTGTTTTCACATACCTACAACTCAGTCAGGGAGAGCATTAGTTTATGATATATACATTTCAAGTTCAGGAGACATTATAAGGAAAACAGTATAGAGATGTACCTTTCAAATGGGTACATCCAACGAAAGTGTACGAGTCCACCTAATCGTGCTTCTCTTGCTAGATGTATAGGCAGGTGAAACATGATGTCAAACAGTGATGGGGGAAATAATCTTTCTAGAAGACATAAGGTTTCTACGACCTCAGACTCTAATATTTCCAACTTCTCTGGATCTATGACACGTTGACATAATCTACTAAAGTAGTTGCATAGTCGGCTCACAGCAATCCTAGGTCCTTTAGGAAGTAATCCTCTCAACGCCGCAGGAAATAGGTTTTGAATAAGCACATGGTGATCGTGGGACTTCATGTTACCAATGGCAGGAGGATCCAATGTTACACAGTTGGCAATATTGGCACAATAACCATCAGGACCTCTAAATCTAGACAATCTCTTACAAAATCTACGCTTCTCATCCTTTGAAAGCCAATATGCGGCTGGAGGCAAATAAGTTCTTTTCCCGCGTACCTGAGAGTGTAAATTGCTTCTAATCCCCATGTCTTCTAGATCTTTTCTTGCTTTCAATCCGTCCTTGGATTTGCCATTATGCATTAGGAGAGATAGCAACGCGTTAGAGACATTCTTCTCAACATGCATGACATCAATATTATGACGAACCGGCATATCCTGACACATACGAAACAACTAGTTAGTAGCCATAATATCTTTCAGTAAGATAAAATATAAAGAATAAATAATATGTGTGGTTTGAAATACTAACCTTCCAGTAAGGCAAATCAAAAAAAATAGATCTCTTTTTCCATCGCCAAATATCAGCGTCTTCCCCAACTTCTTCATGTGGAACCAACTCATCTTCCTATGTGTTTGTTCTTTTCCTTTTACCTTTCTTTATCAAAGCTTTTCCAAAATCATTATTGAAGTCTTTCAGTGTCTCATAAATCTCAATCCCACTTCGGATTCTATTTGCAGTTCCCTCCTCAATAGTATTGTCAAACCACACCTTTTTCCGTCTAAATGGATGAGCAGGACTAAGTCGTTTCCTGTTTCTCATATAAACATGCTTTCTACTGAACTTGAGCCACCTATGAGGTGTATCTTTAACGCAGACATTACATGCCTGTTTTCCCTTGACTTTGCATCCAGCCAGTGTCCCCAAAGCTGGGTAGTCAGTGATGGTCCACAACAGCATAGCCCTAAGTGTAAATTTCTCCTTCAAAAACGCATCATAAACCTCAATACCTTCATTCCACAGATCCTTCAGATCATCTATCAGTGGTTGCAGATATACATCAATGTTATTGCTTGGTGCAGATGGTCCATGGATTAACATAGTGAGCATGATGTTCTCTGCCTTCATGCACTCGGTTGGAGCCATATTGTAGTTTACTAGTAAAACCGGCCAAGTACTGTGGGTTGTGCTTAGAATGGAGAACGGATTCATACCATCAGTTGAAAGGCCTAGTCTAAGGTTTCTAGCTTCAGCTGCAAACTGTGGCCACTTATCATTCGCCTGCACCCAAGTCAAAGAATCAACTGGATGTCGCATTGTACCATCGGCATTGGCATTGGTGAAATGCCAACGCAAATCCTCAGCCAAGCATTTTGATCTGAACATCCTCCTGAATCTATCCTTGACAGGAAAATACCTCAACACCTTTGCTGGAATCCCTTTCTTATCTTCACCAGTGTGCTTATCCCTTTCCCATCTAGAATCATTACACCTTGAACAGCTGACCATATCTTCATACTGATTCCGGTAAATGATACAATCATTTCTGCAGGCGTGGATGATATCGTAACCAAAACCAAAGACTTTCAGGAACTTCTTCAGTTCATCTGTGGACTTAGGAAGGACATTGTCCTGCGGTAGCATGTCATGAACTAGCATCAATAGCTGATCGAAATAGTTCTCAGACATACCACTCTTAACCTTGATGCGATACAGTCCCATGAGTGCAGACACCTTCGTGTACTTGAGACACGTCGAGTATAGTGGAGTTTCAGCATCCTCTAACCTCTCCCTGAACTTGGCTTCCTCTCCATTACCATCGAATTCAGTCGGATTTCCATTCTGACCATGAGACTGTTCACTGGTTTCAGCCACTGGAAAAGCTGTCTTAATCAATTCGAAAGCTTCACAGTCAGATGTCTGGACGTCACTCAGCTTATCTGGCCTAATTTCCCCATGCTTAGACCAACAGTTACTTCGCTTATACTTCTGGTCCATTCCCTTTATCACCAGATGATCCACAACAGTCCCAACTGGTTGATGACAGACGTTGCGGCAATCGACGCATGGACAGAACAAATGCACAATATTACCCAATTTCTTTGCTGATTCAGAAACAAATTTGTTGGCTCCTTCCTGATACTCAAGGCTAGCCCTGCGAGTGTATATCAAATGCAGAGTTCATGACTATGTACAGCAATATACATTACTAAGATATTGATGTTAATGTGTAATTTGTAGTCATCTTCATACCTTGGCAACCAAACCCAATCCTTATCCATGTTATAATGCCTCGGCTCCGGACCCAATATACATACAAATATTTTTCGAAACAGTCATATAAAATTAAACTACCATAGAACAAAGAACATAAATCGAAACCGAGAATGAAATGTCAGTAGTTTAGTTACCTATAATATGATTGAGAGTCAAGGGTTTTGTTGATTACGCGAACGGCAAATTTAGAGAAACAGAACATGTTTATTCAGAGGAACTCGTTTATGACAATGCATTAGACTGAAACCCTTGAAACAGGTAAATCGAAACTCAATCCAACTACCGTAAGACCTAAATATAATCAGAATGCGAAAAAAAAGTTAAATTATATATCACCTGCAATTTGGGGTTGAATAGACGGCAAGAGTAGTGGCTTCAAATTTGCAAGAGATTGATTTCGAAAGAAAACCTAATCTGCAGAGATATAGTAGAAGAGTTTCGTTTTTAAGAGGAATCGGGTTCTGGGTTTCGATTGATGGAGTTTGAGAATAGAGCGAAAGGGGAAAATCGATAATTTCGGAGTGTTTGATGAAAATTGGGGAAAAGGGAACGACTCTAGAACACATGCAATTTTAACGAAAGGCGGAAATTTTTTCTAAGTGTTGGAGGGAACCGAGAATTATTTGTCCGCCAATATTTCTAATAACGTTTTAAATTTAATGTGCTATTAGAGACGGGAAAAAATAAATGCGGGATTACACTTTTGTATATGTGATTGTATCATAGCGTTTTTTAAAAAACAAACGCTATTAAAAAAGTGAGTCTCATTAAAGATAGCACAACCAACTAAAACGCTATACTCGACTGCTGTTAATACCCGTTTTTCCTGTAGTGCATGAAGCTCATAAAGAAAGGGGAAAAAAAAACAGCAACAGAATAGTATTAACTCTGGTCAGAAACCATGAAGTTCATTAAACTGTAACCATATATCCTTACATTAGTAAGCAGTGTAACTTATGTTTTAATAACAGTTCGTAATGTTTTGAAAATTTCTTGTAGACAACGACTAAGTGAAGGGCAGATTCTTAAACTTAGTAAAACTTCCGAGAATTAAAGGAGATGTAGCTACTACTTTGAATTTTTGTTTTCCAAGAGAAATGTATGAATCTGAAATCGAAAGATTTAAACAAGCTGTTTCTGACCGTGATGCTATGGAGGATTTTGCGACTAAGAATGCAACCTTGGAGACAAAATATGAAGGTTTGGAGGCTGCTCACCAAAGCACTCGAGATAAACTCTCAGAAAGGAAGGAAGTTATGCAATCAAACTTCCCAAATCTGTTTAGTAAGTAGTCTAAACTACTTGGTTAAACCTTTGTCTTGATGGATTACTTGGTGTAAGGATGTTTAAAGTTGGTGTTAGATTGATATCTAATTGGTGTTTCCTTGTTTAACTACTACTGGTGTTTGAGACTTGGTGTTTTGTTGAATGAAAAACATGTTTTGTTTCAATTTCTTATTTCCTTTCATCACTTTTATTTAATTTTAGATTATTATTATAATTTCGCTGTAATTTTAATATTTTTAATTGTTTTAATGAATAAAAAAATTGCTAGTCGAAATTTTTTGACGACTCTCCAACGGGTTTTTGATCGCACGCTTTTTGATGGAATTACGACAATTTCGTAGCCATTGCATCAGACTTCTCAGAAATATTTCCGAGCAAAGATCATTCGTCGTTAATCTATTAGGCAATTGGTAATCTATCTATAATTTGTCGGAATTACTACTGATAGTATACCCACTACTATATTTGTTGGAAATTACCGACGGATTAGAGAAAATTTCCGACGAATTTCCAATAGAAGAGGCAATCAAAAATGGGCTTATGTCTTGTAATGGTCCCTCCTTAGCTGTTGAATTTGCCCTGAATTATAAAAAAGAGTGATGACCGATTTTTTTTTTTAATAAAGGTTTTTCCAGCATGACCGATATTGACCAGCAACATTCAAATATGTGTATTCTCGTTATAAGTGGACGAGGTAGGCAACTTCGCACGAAATGATAATGGGAGCTTACGAGTTACATGTATAGAGGGCCCATGCTTTGCAGTTTGCAGTTTGCACGCAGCTATGACAGTTAAAAGTGATTACGTTACGTACTTGTTAACTCGCCTGCATGGTCTGGCCACGTTCTTTGAACATTTCTTAACTCTTGACTTGTTGTAATGATCAACATTTATTAACAAACACGTTTATTGTATATAGATAGTGACCGTGCTTATAATATGTGTACCTATATATTATATATGCACTCGTTGCATGTTAACGTAGTCACAAGACTCGCAACTACAAGTTCAAGCATTCTTTTGATTCTGCCGAAATGGAGCCTATTAATCTATTATAAACTTTAAAAATATTGATTCAAGTTCAAGGTAATGTTGCCGACTGACTTTAAAACAGTACGGATTGCAACTTGGTTTTGAAGAGGAAAAAAACACTTTTTCACTTAACCGTGATTAATGATTTATGGATATATTTTATATATATGTAAATATTGTGTCAGCTGTTAGTGTCATTAACGAGCTTTCCAAGTTGAAAAGTAGACCATCATTTTTGACTTTTTTTCTCACCTCTACAAGTATTAGTCGACACTTGCGATTAGGTCCACAATCTTTTAATGACCCCGTTAGAGGACCATAATTAAGAAGTGACCGGAGTATAAAGCATGGTTCTGGTTCTGGTCCTTCTGGATGTACCCGGCAAGTACAATTCCAGATTTTATCTACAAAAATGTTCAGCTAACAATAACATATAAATAATGGATAACAACTGGGAGAAATAAGTCATTTTTCTTAATCATTCACCCTTTCTTCTCCGTGATGAGCGTAAAGTATCAACCGAGTAAATAATTAAAAGCAAAAGGCAACGATTATTGTTAATTACCAACCCATTATGCATGCGCGCGGATATCAAACCAAATCAAAGCATCAAGATGTGGTCCACAAGAGTTGAAGAGTTGGACCGCATCATGCATGTTGTCCAGTTCCAAATTGCTTACAAAGTCCTGGTTTTTTCAACCCAAAATCCATTTCCCAAAAAGTTAGCACTTTATTATGAAATACTTATTTTCTTTTCCTTTCCCTGTATTTAAGAGACATTAGGATTTTTTTCATGTAATGAACATATCATGATTATGACTAGAGAAAACTGTAATTGAAAACTTGTATTTCTAAGAAACAGATTTATTTGGAAAATATTATACCACGAAAAGAATGTTTGATCCAAAAAATATATATAATAAATTTGACTTTATATTGTAAAAGTATATAGTAAGAGATGCACTTTTTATATTTTCTGTTTTGAATTAAGTCTCTTTTAGACTATTTTTTTTTTTAGTTTTGAAAGAATATTTAATCTATAAATATAGCAGAATAATAGGTATATTTTTAAATGTGTGTCAAAATGTCAAGATGATATTTATTCTTAAACAGATAAATTAAAAAATTAATCATTAACTATAACTGGTAGTTTGATTATTTACTTTATACATTTCTTCATTCTAATTTTTACTACTCTAAGGGGGGTATTGGTTCCTTGGAATTCCATAGAATTTAAAGGAATTGAAGATTCCATTAAATTCATGTGTTATTCAAGTAGATGTTTTTTCAATTCTTTTAAATTTCGTTGTTATTCAACTTATCCGTTTTTCAATTCCATTAAATTCTAGTGTTATTCGATAACATGATATATTTGATGGTATTGTCATTTGGAATGAATTTAATAGAATTTGAAGAAAATTTTGTAAAGGCTCAATTCTTCCCATTTTTGCAGAGATTTTAATAGAATTGATTGAATTCCTAACAAATACCTAAAAATCCATTAATTTTGAATTCTTTTGATTTCTTTCTAGTTCTAGCAACCAATACCCCTTCCTAAGTTTTTAGAGTAGTAACAAATTTAGCAGTTTTCGGTTTTGTAATACTATTTTTATGTGATATCTTTATTATTTTGCCATGTTCATACTTAGAGTGCAAATGTAAAAATCTTGTTGAATGTGAAATTTATATAAAAAATGTTGTGATCTTTTGTTGAATCTAGTTGAATAACTGAAATTTTTATTTATTAAATAATTAGGAAATAAAGTACATCTCCAAAATTTTAATATTTGAATTCCAGTGTTTTATTTACCATATTGAAAATTCCAACATATATTTTATAAAATAATGGTTCTATCACTTTTTCAATAATAGAATAATTTCATTTATTATTATTTTATTAACTGAAATTTTATTTTGTTGAATAATAATAAAAAACTAATAAAAGATTCATTTGTGAATAACTAAAAAGTCTAAAAGTAATATGAAAAAACTATAAGTAATTAAATAGCTTTAGGAAAGATGAATTTTAAAATTATAGTCTAGAAGAAATTTATTTATATTAGAAATTTATTGAATAGTATTCTACAAATTATATTCCACAGATTCTAATGGTTCAGCAAATAATATTCTTCAATTTCTCAACATTCCACAAAACTCATGTGGCAAGTTAGACCTACTTAATTTTCACGAAACAACCTCTTGAAATAAACATGTATTTTACGATTTATATATATCAGTGTTATAAAATCTTGAGTACTTCTGTATTTGCAGGTGATTTGATTCACGCAAGTGGAATATAAAAATTCAATTTCTAAAGTTTACCAGTGGTAGTATTTAACAGAATCCAGAATTATAATTTCTAATAATCATAACAACCCATCATGATTAAATAATTAGTCCTGAGATTCTATCATCGTCACAGTCAAAGAAAAGACTCAAAAGTATTGAAAATTAAAAAAAAAAAGACCTCTGTTTCCACGTATCTGCAATCTACCTCATGAGCACATGTCTGCAAAGTGCAAACCCCATCATTTAAAACCCCAACAAACACCTCTCACCGCCCTCAACTGAAACCATCTCATTTAAAGCCCCTCAAAGATCCAATCTTTATCCTTTTTTTTTTGGTTCTTGTCAGAGAAAAATTAATAAAAAAGATGGGTAACAGTTTAGGCGGCAAGAAAACGACCAAAGTCATGAAAATAGACGGCGAGAGTTTCAAACTGAAAACTCCGGTGACGGCGGAGGAGGTCTTGAAAGACTTCCCCGGCCACGTTTTGTTAGACTCCGAATCCGTCAAGCACTACGGTGCCCGAGCCAAACCACTTGAGGTAACATTTCTTAACATTTACATCAAATCTCCATTTCTCTTTAAATCAAAATGAAAAAACAATTTTCAAAATTTGGTTACGTTGGGTGTGCAGGCGAAGCAGAGGTTGGAGGCGAAGCGGCTGTATTTCGTGGTGGAGCCGGTGAAGGAGTGTCCGCCGAGAAGGGTAAGATCGGGAATTCACATGAGTGCCAAGGAGAGGCTCGAGAACCTCATGCTTGCCCGAAGATCCTCTTCCGATCTCTCCATACTCAATCCCAGTGGTGGATGGACGACGGAGGAGGAAGGAGGAGGAGGAGGAGGAGGAGCGGTGAGGGTGAAAGTGAGAGTTCCCAAGGCGGAGCTACAAAGACTCGTTAAGGAAGGAGCCACCGAAGCGGAGGCTACACAGAAGATCGCCGCTCTCTTTATGACCAAACACAACGAAACACCTCAGAACACTCTCCATATGATGAAGGAAACGAGCCCACCGCCACACCCGCCGCCACAAGAGGAGTCAAATCCCGTCTCGTGAGTCATATTTTCTCTTTATTAATTTGTTCTTTTGTTATTAGTAAAATAATCAAACCGTAACTTTATAGAGTGACATATAACAGTTTTGAATTTTTTCATGTTATGTGTTGAAAACGTTTCCATTTTTTTACCGGAAAATTCGGAGCAGATAGAGATCGTTCTTTGCTCTGGTCAAATTTTGCATGCTCCTTTTTACACTCTTTATAAAAAAACGTGACATTTGTTTAAGATCAAATGATTCATTTCTTAAGCTAATAACAATTTTGAAATGTTGATTTTGCAGAGACGAGTGAGTTTCATGGCGGAAAGAGAAGGAGGGAGCGAGATCACAGTGGCTTGATAAGTTTGAAGTAATTAAAACCAATATTATATAGAAACATATATTACACTGCTTCCCCAACGTTTCTGCATTTCTTTGTACATAAAAAAACGCAGAAAGTTTGAGAGATTAGCTATTAGAAAAATATTCATCCATGTCTTCTCCATTCACTTTGTAACCCAAGTTTCATTATTTTCTAGCAAAGAAAGAACGGTTATGGTTATTCGTAGTCAGATTCCATCAATGTCTCTCTTACCTTATTGATTCTCTGTTTCTTCTGCAACTTCTAGGCTCGTTTTGTCCTTCTTCCGACCTCAAGAGCCAACTCTGTATCGATCTTCAGAGATATGTCCAACGCTTTAACCGAATGCGTCAGTGCTCCACTGCATTATTAATAACATTTCTTTCATCTTCCATCTGACGTAAAAACAACAAAACCTGTAAATTTTGAAAGATTTCTCGAGGTTGTTACCTGCTAATGAATGTAACTCCACTCTGTCCGATCTTGTGTACTGTCTCAATTGTAACATTGCCTGAAGCCTGCATCATAAGATTAGGATTTAGAGTCTTCTTTTACTAAAGAAAGGTGTTATCTTTCTTCCTAACACACACACCTCTGTTTCGAATCTCCCATTGATTAGCTCTACAGCATCTTTAAGCATCGTTGTATCAACATCTCCGTTCTCTAACGGAACAACCATATTATCCAGCATTATCCTCGTCAACCTCGTCTCGGATCCACCAACATACTCCAACACTTCCTTCACTTCCTCAAGCGTCCGCGTCTCCACCTTCAAAAAGACAGTGATTACAACTTGTTTACCGTCTTTTAACTAGCAGCCACCACCAAGGATTTGAAAAACTAGATTTATTTACCTCCACATCCATCTCGAGATTCTTTTGCTTTAGATACTCGTCTACGGATTTGATAGCGCTCACTATCCCTCCTGCAGCTGAGATATGGTTATCTTTAATCATCACCATGTCAAACAACCCCATCCTGTGATTCTTCCCTCCACCAATCAGCACCTAAGCTAACCAAGAAAGCTTCAACTGTATCAGAAGACAATAACATCATTGTCTCAACATAAGAGACTAAAATTTTGCAATTCAGTGTAGAACGGACCGCCCATTTGTCCACCAACCGCAGACCAGGAGCCGTCTTTCTCGTCTCCAGTATACGTGCAGGGTATGCAGCATCTGCCATTAACTGCACCAAAACAAACTCATCAGCTAAACTCTCCACCACAAGAACCAGTTACATGATCAAGGATCAAGAAATCAAGAAAAAGAGAAAAAAAGCAATGAAGATGATTCACTACCATAAACCATTTTAGTAAGGCAATAAACATTCTCATTTCAGATATAAGTTAATATGAATGTAAAGTAACCACACCAAATCACTTTTCAAAAACAATAGTGATAAAGAAGCAAAACCTTGGTAAGGGTCGCAATTCCACTCATCCTCTGCATGAAGTTGAGCACAACTCTCTCAGAAACAACAATCTTATGTGCATTCCCTGATACTTTCCCAAACTTCAATCCTTTATGAACATAATCTCCATCCTTTCTCATCCATTCCACCTTAAGGATTCACACACATTACTAAGATTCATTAAACTCATAACAAAGATACATATATACAAATCAGTTTGCTCTAATAGAAACAAACCTTCAATGAGGGATCAACTTGTTCAAAAATCATCTCAGCAAGAGCGATTCCAGCGACAATACCATCTTCCTTGGCCAAGAAATAAGCTTCCACTTCCGTATCAAACGGTATCGTAGCCATACACGTTACATCTCCTACAATTTCAAGAGCTCAATTTCACCAAATCCACTCGAATAAAAATCGCAACTTTTTGCCTTTTTGGTAATTAAAGAGAGAACCTGTATGACCAGCGTCTTCAGCTAGAGCTAGATTGATAACGGCTTTCAAATCGTAAGTAGGATGTGAAGGAGGCTTTATCGCCACGGACCGGTGTGAAATTTGAGTTGCAGAAGAAGCAGACATTTTCACGAAGCTCCTGAAATAAAGAGCAAAAAACAATTGAGATTTCGGTTTGGCAGGAATCGGAGAAATGAATCGACTCAGAAGAGAGAGACTGAAACTGGATTTTTTTACGGATAAACCTTGGAATTGCGTGGAATTGAGGCGACAGCAATCGAGAGACAGAGATCATCGTAGACTGACTCAAGTCTGTTTCTGTGAATATGAGGGGATGATCTTTAGAAAATTAGAATAGAGTTTGGTTCAACCAAAAGGGAATTGGGTTTTGTATCCGACTCACACAAGAGCCCGTTTAATTTTCCCCTTGTGAAATTTCATATTTCGAATTGATGAGTAATTTCACAGAGTACTTTACTGTTAGTATTGTAGAAATTTTTGAGAAACTACAGTTTCTACTATTAGTAAGTTCCAACTTCCAACTATATAAAAAGATCTCCCATAATTTTTGAAAACGAGAGAAACAAAATTTATGGAGTTTACAAAAAGAAAAGGTAAAAATATCGGCATAAAATACTAGTGTAGGTATTTATGTGTGTGCGTGAAATTTTAATAAAATAAAGAAATTGTTCTACATAGGCTGCTTAAGTGAAGTAGACACACAACAAACTTCAACATAAAACATAAACCCGTCAAACATTTAGAAGAAGCAGCCTCGTTACTTCGTTTGAATTTAGAAACTTAATATCAAACAACATTCAAATCAAACCACTGCCTCTCTCCCTCTCCATTTATCTTATATATATATTACCTCCATCAAACTTTCTTCTTTCATTTTCATAATTTCCCTTCAAACTAAAACTACATACTAGCTAATTCAACGTTTCCTTATAATCAACCACTAACCCTATCATTCATTTTAGTCTCCCGCCGAGCCACAAGACCTAAGGTTTTGCAATAACATGAGGATCGTGTGGAAATTCATTATGGTCATGATGTATTTTATCGTTTTGGTCGGATCAAGAGAATCCTCGGCGGCAAGGCTGACGCCGATATGGAGGATTAAAGAAGAAGATGTGGGAAGAGGGTTTGCTTTGCAGAACAAGCTCCAACGAGGTCCAGTTCCTCCTTCACAACCTTCTCAATGCCACCATAGACTAAGCCCACTTTCTCATTCGGAGGACTATTCTTCCCATAATGTTGCTTGCCCCTGAATCCATGATCATGCCTCCTTCGTTGACCATTATCAACCATATTTTTTATTCTTTCTATCTTTCATTTTTTTTTTTCAAATTCTTTCTATCTTTCATATGTTTAGTGTAACTGTATTCGTAGAAATTGGATTAGACGACTCATTCAAAATCGAAAGAGTCACACGTAAAATATGTTTTGTACTTTAAATAAATTTTGTTTGGGTGTTCTGAAATTAGTAGTAACTTGAACATTGACTAACTAAATCATTGAGATGCGCAATACAAAAGACAATCTGTGTTTTGTCCTCGGAAGATAACGAATGTTATGTTACACTGAAAAATGAAAATATTAAAGTAATTTAACTTTACAAAACTTTGAATGATGATTTGAGGACATATTATGTTCATGTTCTTCGCGAATGAAGATATTCGGTCGTACTTATGACAATACTATACATGCATATATTCTATGTGCGACTGAATATTTCACCATTGATAGCGTCAATCCTTATTTATCGGTTTTATAATGGAATTTTTGTCAGGTTTTCATTTCTGAGTTTAGCAACGGATATTACTATGCACATCATACCGTAAAAAACATTTCAACAAAGTGTGAAAACGTACGTATATGTGGTATGTTACTATTTTTAACAGTATGTGCATAGTAACTATTGTTGTCTCGTGTTTCTTCCATATATACGCTTACGAAAATAACATATATCTCCGTTTAAGTGTTTTACACATCACAAAACTTGTTTTTGCAGCTTGGGAAACCAAAAAGTACAGTGGAAAATTAGTACAGTGGAAAATTTTGAAAAGAAACTAGTGTAGGAAAAAAAAATAGTGATAGTATGAGAAAAAAAATTACTTAGTGGTATATGAATGATGAATATGCTATAGATGAACCAGTTCCAACTCGGGTTGAGTGGGTGGAACCGATGTATGATCCAAACGATAGTGGTATTATCTTGGCTGCCTACACAGATTACACAAATGATAAACCAATTCCTTTTGATGGAGAAGATTTGTATAATCCATTCAAAGATACTAAACATGTTATTTAAGAATGCTCACTAGAAAGCGATGATAGTATCACAGATGCAGTATTCTCATGAAGATATTGATCAAGTCTCATCTCTTGCACGGAAGCTGATGCCCTCGACGATTGTGAATGAGACTAGGTTGGGCCAAACTTATTCAATACAAGAATTGTATGAAAATTTGAGTGTGTGACTTTATGGTTTGCTAGATAAAAAAAAAACAATCTATGTCTTTAAAAAAAAGAAAAAAACATGCAATACAAAAATACAATAGGAAACCAATGTAGCTTTTTGTTTGTTTTTCGTATCATCAAAGCCCACCCAATAATTCATATCAAGCCCACCCAAAAATAACAAGGTCATATCGACACAAAAGAGACCTGAAACTAAAATTTTAGAGCCAAATTCCAAAGGGATTTAGAGAACCAGAGCCGAATGAGAAGGAAGACGATCGGAAGGAGAGTGCCTATTTTATAAAACTGAATTTGGATGATTAAATCCGCAAATTCATGCGCTTCTCTACCATTTTCCGCAAACCCCCAATCCGAATCTGCCATTTCCGGAGCTCCGTCAAGCTACTTCACTCTCTTCCCCGACCAAGACCCAGAAATCCCACAAACCGATTCTTCCAGAAACCAAAACTCGTGAAATCACAGACCCCAGACCCCACGATTTACACCAGAGACATCGTCTCCAATATCTACAACATCCTCAAGCACTCCACCTGGGAATCTGCTCGGGAACAGCTTCCACATCTCGGTGTAAAATGGGACTCTCACATAATCAACCGCGTCTTGAAATCCCACCCTCCGATGCAGAAAGCTTGGCTCTTCTTCAACTGGGCCTCCGAAATCAAGGGATTCAAGCACGACCATTTCACTTACACCACCATGCTCGACATCTTCGGAGAAGCGGGTCGGATCCAATCCATGTACTCCGTCTTCCACCTCATGAAGAACAAAGGTGTGGCGATCGATACGGTGACGTACACGACGATGATTCACTGGGTTTCGAATTCCGGCGACGTTGATGAAGCGATGAGGTTATGGAAGGAGATGAGAGATAACGGTTGCGAACCTACTGTCGTCTCGTACACTGCTTACATGAAGATACTTTTCTCCGACGGGAAGGTGGATGAAGCGACGGAGGTGTATAAGGAGATGCTACGGTCGCGAATCTCCCCGAATTGTCATACTTATACGGTGTTGATGGAGTATCTCGTCGTCACAGGTTAGCTTCACTCAATGCACACCAAGTGTTTGTTAAAATAACTAACTGAAAGTCAAGATTTTTTTGCTTTTTTTTGTAAATGACTTCAATTTCTTTTTGTGCATTTGGTTTCTGAATGTTTGTTTGTTTGATTTTGCAGGAAAATGTGAGGAAGCTTTAGATATTTTCTTCAAGATGCAAGAAATCGGAGTGAAGCCAGATAAAGCAGCATGCAACATTCTGATTGGGAAAGCGTGTGAATTCGGAGAAACATCTTTCGTTTCTCGGATTCTTCTACACATGAGAGAAACCGGGATGGTGCTTCGTTACCCTGTCTTTCTCGAGGCTTCAAAGACTCTGAGAGCCGCTGGGGAAAGTGATGATCTGTTGAGGGAAGTCAATTCGCATATCTCCGCTGAATCTTTGTGCTCCGAAGCCATGGATGAGACGAAAAGTTCGGACGATAGTAGATTTATCAGTTTCGTGCTCTTGTTGAAGCAGAATCTTGTTGCAGTTGATCATCTACTTAACCAGATGAAAGAAAGAAACGTAAAGTTGGATCCTTTTGTTGTTTCAGTGATCGTAGAAACAAACTGTGACCGTTGTAGAACCGAGGGGGCTTCGTTGGCTCTTGATTACAGCTCGGGAATGGGGATTCATCTGGAGAAGACAGCGTATCTTTCGTTGATTGGTAACTTTCTGCGAGCAAACGAGCTGCGTAAAGTGATTGAATCGGTGAAGGAGATGCTTAAAGCTCAACACAAGCTTGGTGTGTACCAAGGAGCAACGTTGATCCACAAGCTCGGGTTTGGAAGAAGAAGACCTCGCTTAGCTGCGGAGGTTTTAGAGTTGCTTCCCGATGATCAGAAGGGAGTAGCTGCTTACACGGCGTTGTTGGATGTTTATATCTCAGCAGGGAGTCCAGAGAAAGCGATGAAGATATTGGAAGAGATGAGAAGGCGAGAGGTTATGCCTTCGTTGGGGACATACAATGTTGTATTGTCTGGTCTTGAGAAAACAAAAACCAGTGAGTTCCAGAGAGAAGCAGCGTCGTTGAAGAAGGAGAAGAAGAGTCTTGTTGCTAATGGACGTTTCAGGGAAAACGTTGATGTTCAAGAGAGAATCTGTGATCTTCTGTTTGCTAGAAATCTGTAATTAGACTGCAGGTGAAGTCAACGTAAATATTTCAACGAAGCCCATTTGAGGCCTATTACTTCCAAATATGAGGCCCATTACTTCATTTCTCTCTTCATTTTTCTGATTGATTTAGCGGACGATACTCTCTCTCTCAGTTATCGACGTCGGTAAACTCGACTCGAGTAGGTACTTGCTGATCTACCGGAGAAGACAGATGGCGAGATCGTGCTGTATCTGGACGCCTGTTTTGATCTCACTCTCTCCGATAACCGGAGAAGCAGCTAAAATTTCCCGGCGACGGGTGATTTTAGCCGCAAGTGTAGGTTCTCCTCAGGTTTGTACAATATCTCAGTTGATCGAAATGTTCTCGCTTTTTCAATGAATCCGAGGTCGCTGAGTTTAGATTGAGCTATTATTTGTGCCAAGAATTGAAAATTTGAGCTTTTTTCTGTAGTTTCTTCGAATTATCTATGCAGCGTTTGTGCATATTAATTTTAGGGATTTCTGCATTTATGAATATGAATGGCAAGCCACAAACTCATGCATCAGATGATCTGACAAATTTATGAATTAGTCTCATTGCTTTTTCATGGTTAATATAACAAGATTGGTATTGAGTCTGCATTGCAAGCATCAGTTTTTCTCTGTCTGAAGACACATTTGACTTTTCTTTGGTAGCCTTTACTTGAAGCAAACATTAAGGAACCGCAGAAGCTTCAAGTCCTTGATTCCAAAGATGATGTGTCCAGAAGAAACACGATGCTCTATCTAACGGCTGGATTTCTAGGAGGGATCAGCTTTCTCCATGGTGAAGAAGCCGCAGAAGCTCGTGTAGGGAGAAAAGAGAACAGAAGAAAATCTTTAGAGAAGCTGAGAGGGAAAGCCAAAGAGTCTGAACCCAAAGCAGGAGACAAAACGAAAGACAGTGAACTATTCCCTCTTCTTCCTCCACCTCTCCTACCACAAGCCATTGGACCTGTGGTGGAAGCAAATTTGCTGCCATAACTCTTTCTCTCTTTTGATGCTGCTGTTCAAAGTGTTAGAATCAAAAGCTTTCATTTCATGTTCTGTGTTAGGTCTCCTATTACAGAAAGAATTATGTAACCAAAAAGAGTTGAAAATTCGAACAATAAAAAAAAGGGCTAAGAGGTTTTCTTGTCCATGTTTGTGATGAGCTTCTTCATCTGAAACCTCCAGATACAGAAGTAAGCGAAACCAAATCCGATCAACACGTATAGCCAAATCTTATCTTCCCCACTCTCTTTCTCCGACGAAACCTCCTCAATCCCAAACAATTCCCTCGCTTCTCCTTCTTTGTAGTTTCCCATGATGCCCTCAACCACTCTCCCATATAACACATATATCCTATCCTGACCGGCCACCGTCACCGCCGTCGCGAACCCCTCCACGTCGAGGTCCGTCTCGTCGTAAATCACTCCTTCGCTCCAGCTGTCCTGGCTCTTGAGAAACCAGAGCTTCTTCTGCGACACCACCAGAATCGTTCCGTCTCTCCGTTTCCTCGCCATCCCGTCCGCCGCCACCAGATCTCCGTTCAGAAGCACCAGCCTCGCCGTCCCGGTCTCTTCGTCGACCTTGAACATCTTCCCTGTGTTGCTCTGCACCACCAGGAGGTAGCCTTTGCTGATGTACACGATCCCGTTCAGGCCGCAATCGCGGAATCCGGCGTCCGCGTCTGCCGCCACCGGCTGCGAGTTGAATACCGGCGATCTGGAGAAGATCGATGCCGCGCCGTCGCGATCGACTTTCCAGATGAAGTTTTTGGCTGAGTTGGTGACGTAAGCGTTGCCTTTGTAATCAACCGCCACGTCGTTGGCGACGTCGCGGGCGATGTCTTCGTCGTCTCCGGGGAGAGACGGGAGAGGAGAGAGGAAGATACGACGGCCGCCGCTGCGGAGATCGTAGGCGGCTAAGGCGCTGAAGGGAGGAAGAGGCGCTGCGGAGTGGATGGCAGCAAGCAGACGGCGATTAGTAGAGTCAACGGCGAGACCGAGGATAGTAGCGTTTTCTGGTAGATCGGGATCGGAAACTATGGTTTGGATGACTCCGGCATCGGAGACGGAGTGAATTGTGCGGCTGTGGAGGGAACCGACTATGAAGTGTTGTCCCGAAGGATCATATGCTAGTCCCTCCGGATAGAGTCCAGGCGATCGGAAGTTGATTACGTGGCGATTCGTGGAGGAGGAAGGAATTGGAAGTCCGACCAGCACGACGGCGAGGATGATTGAGATGACGGAAGACGATCTGCTGGATCGAGTGGAAGACATGTTCGCTTTCATGTGATTTTCGATTTAGGAAATTTTAGAAATATATAAACCCAGGCCAATTTATGGGACAAATGGGCTTATTTAGTGCCTACTTGTAAAAGTGAGCCAATTTGGAATTTGGAATTCATCCTAAATCCCCAATGAAAACAGCTATCACTAATGGAATTGGAATTCATCCTAAATCCCCGATTCATGTTTAACCTTACATTCTAAACATACTTATAAACATAATAGGTAGTTTGCGTTGAACCATGAGAGAGAAGTGTGATTTCTGGAGACAGTCCTCGTAAGGAGCATTAAGTTTTTTAGTTTGGTATCAGAACACACTAGTATGCTTTTTTTTTCTTCTTCTTTTCAGGTTACTTACCGAAAATCTTGGATGTTAAGCTACTCGATGAAGGGGTCAAGGTTAGTAATAATCTCAACTTAATCTAGAATCAACGTTTCCAAAACGATACAAGTAATTGGAAAGAATAAAAGAGAATCATGCCAAACTAGGTTAGCAACGAGGAAGCAATTGAGATGGCGAGAAGACTAGCTTTGGAGGAAGGATTGTTGGTATGTAGGATACTTTTTTTCTTTTATTGTTTCTCTTCTTTCCTCTTTTTTTTTTTTTTTTTTTTTTTTTTGCCAACGAAACCCATGTAATTTATTAGACTGGACCGAGGAGACTAGCTTTGTGAGCTAGCCAACTCGGAATCAAAGAGTTTACATAGGTGAACAGGGAGTCTCGTGCTCGAGCGGCCTTAGCCAGAACGTCAGCACGGACATTATACAAACGTGGGATAAAGATGATAGTAAAGGAAGTGAGACAGGATCGAACTAGCTGAAATTCGTCTATCTCTATGGCCATAGAGGGCCAAAACTCATCTTCTTCTACTAGCTTAACAAGTTGCAGACAGTCCGTTTCAACCTGATGGATTGTAATCCGAGCTGTAATGCAGACTTCATTGCCCAAGTCAAAGCTGAAAACTCCGCGTGGAGTGGAGAGAGAGCATGGTTGCATGCAATCGCCCCGTAGATTATGTTACCCTCTTCCTTGTCAATAATGAAACCACCACCACTATAGTGAGAGTCAGTACCCCATGAGGCATCGACCTGACATCTTGGGAGGCTTAAAATTGTTCCGTCATTTGGACCAAGTGAAAGAGAGGATCTGTCTTCATTTCTGTCTTCCTCTTGTTTTTGTGCATTCAACCATGCTGCTGATTCCGCTATGGCGTGGTTCAGTGTATCTGTGGCATCTACGTCAGTGTTGTCAAACACTTTTTCGTTTCTTGCTTTCCAGAGAAATCATATCATCCATGGATACTTCGCGAGGGCCTGTTCATGAACTCCAGCGTCTGGTGCACGCCACATAAGGTAATCAAAATTACTGAAAAGAGAGGTACACGGGAAAACGCCCGGAGAGGTTGGAATATCGGAGCTTTCCCATACCCGAGTGGCAGCTGGGCATGTGAAAATTAAATGGTTAACGGTTTCCGCCTCTGCCCCACAGCGAGGGCATGATCTTTCTGTACCACAATGCCGATCTACTAGTATGTCCCGGACAGCGATACATCCCGTGATGCATTGCCATAGAAAGTGCTTGAGCTTTTTTGTCGTCCTCGTTTTCCATGCCCTTCGTTTCAGTACGGTAGTACTTGGCTCTAGGACTTGGCCTGTGATCACTTCCGTCTTACTCATGGCAAGATCATAACCGGATTTGACTGTATAGACCCCCGACTTTGTATAGGCCCATACCAGACGGTCAGTTGTGGGGACTCGTGATGGTCGTATCCCTTGGATCCAGCGTACATCCTCCTCTGTGAACAATTGTCTTAGAGTTTCAAGTTTCCATTCTTTTGTTTCTTGATTAATGAGATGGTAGACTAGGAGATATGGATCTTGGAAGGTTCCACGCTTAGTTGGTGGCCTCGGTTTGCTGTCCGGTATCCACGGGTCTCGCCACACAGCTGTGTTAGCCCCCGACCCTATCGCTCTTCTTAGTCCTGAGACAAGGAGTTCTCTTGCCGCCATCATACTTTTCCAACCATAGGATGGGGAGTTGACTTTCTTAACATCAAGCGGGTTTGAAAGCCAGAAGTAACGTCCTTTTAGGATTCTCGCGAGAAAAGATGAGGGATAATGGAATATTCTCCATAATTGCTTCGCAAGCAGTGCGAGATTGAAATTTTTTAAGTCCCGGAATCCCAAACCACCTTCTTCCATAGGCACACAAATCTTTTCCCATGCAATCCAATGTAAGCCTCTATTGTTTTGTTTTGAGCTCCACCAGAACTTGGAAATCGCACCTTGTAGTTTCTTGATGGTTTCTTGGGGGAGAAGAAAACATGACATTACATAAGTTGGCAGGGCTTGTGCCACAGACTTAATCATAACATCTTTTCCTCCTTTTGATAGGAGCCTAGCCGACCAAGAGTTAATGCGTTTACTTAGTCGGTCATGGATAAACGTAAACATTTTTTTCTTGGAGCCGCTAATATTTTCAGGAAGTCCTAGGTAAGTTCCCATGCCTCCCTCGGTATTGATGTCTAGGGTTTGTTTCAGCACAATACGTATATCAGGTGGGACTTTTTTACAAAGAATACTGAAGACTTTGAGGCGTTAAGGAGTTGGCCCGAAGCTTGTCCATATGACTCAATAATCCGCTTTAGTTCAGCACATTGTGCAGTGTCAGCTTTGCAAAAGAAGAGACTATCATCAGCAAATATAAGATGTGAGATTGGGGGACTGTTCCTTGCTATCTTGAGACCTGTTAGCCTGCCTTCTTCTTCTGCTCCCCTGATTTGTGCCACTAGGGCTTCTGTGAGGATGATGAACAGGAATGGTGATAGTGGGTCGCCTTGTCTTAGACCTCTTGTGGGTTGTATATGTCCTTTTGCCTCTCCATTAAGCAGTACTTGGTATGATACCGACGAAATACATGATTTGATCCAAGACACCCATTGGTCAGAAAAACCCATCTTAAGTATCAAGGCTTCAAGAAAATTCCACTCCACCCTATCATAGGCTTTGCTCATGTCTGTCTTGATTGCCATAAATTTAGATTTACAGCTGGGGTTTGTGCGTAAGGCATGGAATGCTTCTTGAGCAATCAGAATATTATCTGTAATAAGTCGTCTAGCCATAAAAGCTGATTGAGTTTCAGAGATTAATTTGGGAAGAAATCTCTTGAGGCGTTTACATAGGATCTTGGAGATGATCTTATAGCTGACATTACAGAGACTTATGGGACGAAATTCTGTCATTTCCCTTGGTCTTTCCGTCTTTGAAATGAGGCAAATATTAGTATTGTTTAACCTTGGGTCAAAGGAGTTGGTCGTGAAGAATTTCATCACCATTGAGATAATATCTTTTGTCGTGATGTCCCAAAATTATTGGAAAAATGGCTTGTCATTCCATCTGGACCTGGGGATTTTTCAGGGTTTATTTCTTTGACAGCTTGCAATATCTCCTCGTTAGAAGGGAGTTTAGTAAGAGCTTGATTTATGTGTGGAGTAACTTGAGGGGTGACATATCGAAGAGCTTCTTGGAAATCACTTGGGTTTTGATGTAGTGAAGAGGTTTTTGAAGTATTCCGTCGCCACTTGCTCTATGTTGTCATCCGTTTCTGCCCATGACCCATCATTTCTTTTGAGTTTGGTGACTCGGTTTCTAGCTCTTCGTTGTTTTGTGGTAGCATGGAAAAATTTAGTGTTCCTGTCACCATCTTTGAGCCATGTTACTCTACTTTTTTGCTTCCAGAAGTTCTCTTCTAAAGGTTGTGCATAGGTCTTATTTAAGCTTGAGGATCTCTTCACTTGATGTGGTGTTGTCCGTTTGAGCTTTCTCCAGCTGTTCTTTTAAAGCTTCAATCCTTTTTTGGGAGTTTGTTTGATTTGTTTTCTTCCGGGAAGAAATACCAGTGTACCTTTGAATGAATATCGCCTTGCTCCAATGCAGTATGAGATCTCCAACCCCTCTCTATGGATGTTCTGAAGCCTTCTTTGCCTAGCCATCGTTTATCAAATTTGAAATTCTGTTTTGCTCTAATGACTTTAGATGAGATTTGGACTAGAACAGGGCGGTGATCGGATCCCCACAGATTAAGATACTCCACACATGTGTGGGAAAGCAGTGATGCCATTCTTCATTGCCGACTGCACGGTCGAGGCGGCATTGTACCTTACCGGAGCTTCTGTAACCAACCCAAGATTGGAAGTTTCCTTTGTATGGGAAGTCTATCATACCACAATCATCTAGCATATTTCGGAAAGGTAGAAAGGATGACTCCGCCTGTTTCCTTCCACCTCGTTTCTCATTGTTGCTCACCATTTCATTAAAATTTCCACACATAAACCATGACCCTTGACGAGTTATGCTTAGTTGGCTCAGTCTATCCCATACTTTTCCTCGGTGTTCGAAAACCGGATCGCCATAAACGAAGGACATAAAAACTTTTTTTCCTTCGATGGAAGCCTCAATGTCTATCATGCGATTATCAGCAGAGAGAATTTTAACATCAAAAGAATCAAAATAAAACAAAGCAAGTCCACCGCTTAGCCCTCTGGATCCACGGCGAACAATTTATTATAAGCAAAAGAAAGTTGTAAATCTTGCATGAAAGGGAAATTGTTTTTTGTTTCTGAAAGAAAAAGAAAAGATGGTACAAAAAAACGGTGCAGTTCCTCGAGGTGTTTTTTTGTTAAGTAAGCTCCTGCACCTTGACAATTCCAAGCAATTGTATTCATATCCTCTTACTGGGTGGTTTCTGGGACACCACCGAACCTACAACAATAGAAGACTTCTTGCTTAGAGCAGAACGAATCACCTCATGTCGAGGGAGATGAGAAATAGAATTCAGAGATTTTGAGCTTTTACCCGTGCCCTGTTTCTTTTTTGGAGATGGCTTTATGCGCAGAACGTTAAGCTTTCTTTCCTCTACATGACATTTTGTGTTAATACTTATTTTGCCGGAATATAGAGAAATTTTAATAAATACACCTCTTAAGGTGATAATTTTCGAAACTACAACTCTATGGTGTTACTTTTCAAAATTACAATTTTTCTAAATTTAACATCTAAGTTTGGGTTCACTAATCTCTAATTAGGGTTTAGATTTTCGGGTTTAGGATTTAGATTCAAAGGTTTGATGGTATATTTCAGGGTTTATGTTTTAGATTTTGGGTTTAGACTTCTTTTACTCAATGAACAAGTGTAATTTTGAAAATAAACACTCTAAAAGTGTAATTTTGGAATTTCCCCATATATATACGTAATAAGTTAAGATTTCGTCTAGAGCAGCAATTATGTTGGCGAAAAGAGCTGAGAATGCCGGTAAACTTATCACGGTGAGGAAGAGAAAACAAAACACTTTTTTCAACTTTACAGTAGTCACATAAGTGGTTTAGTTTCGTTATAAAAACATGTTCTGTTTCCGAGCCATGGCGAGCTGTTGTAATACAACATCTCTATTTAGTTCCATCCACAAAGAGGTTCAAGAGATGAGACATTAGAAGAGGAGTAGCAGTCATTATTAGTGACCCCTAATTGTGTGGAGTGTCAACAACAAATCTTTTGGCAATATACAGTAGAAACTCGATAAATTAATATTTGATAAATTAATACATTATAAATAAATAAATTTCTCCGATTCCGGGTTGAACCGGTGTAAAATATGACACAATTCAATAAGATAATAAAATAATAATTTGTTTAAAACTCCTATGTAAAATATGGTCTCAATAATATCATAAATTAATAATTATCATATAAAAACTTATATATATAAGTTATATAGCTACTCTCTCACACACCAACCTTAAAAGAAATTTAAAACAAAATGGCAAATATGAGAATTGATAAACAATAAAGTAAATATAGAAATAACAAAAAAAAAGTTAAGAAAATATATGTATAGGAAAGTTCTTAGAACCGAGAAATGTTTTCATGCTCGAGATCAAACAAGTTTTTTCAAACATTTTGTCATTAATACTCCGAAGCTAAGCCACCATGTTGCCCCTATAACACAAATTCCAAAATATTTATCCTAATCTTATGGTATAAGAAATAGAGTTAATATGTATGATCTCCAAGTAAGAACATTTTGGAACAAAAAGAAAAATGTTATACATTATCAGACCATTAATTGATTGGGCCGTTAACAAACCCTAAACTCCTAATTTAAAAAAATTATCTGACCTTTAACTTCATATCGTGTTCCTTTGTCTCTCCTATTTATTTCGTTCCGCATAATTCATTCTTCATTAGTTCTCTCTCAATCTTATTGCAAGCTCTAAAAAATCTCGCCATGGATCCCATCAATTCGTTACCATGAACTGTCACTTGACGATGCCCCGATTAATACATCTTGTTAATCTGGCAAGCTCGTGGTATCTTAATGTTGTCGGTACAATAATGGTGCGGTGGTTAACGCACAATTGCAGTGGGTTGTTGGCGGCTTTGTCAATCTAGTTTTTGGAGGAGGAGGAGGCGTTTTTGACTTGGATTTTAACTTGGATTTCATTATGAAGTTTTTTCAGTAATAATGATCGAGACGAATAGAAGTCAATGATGCAATAGGTTTAGGTCAAGAAGACACAACACACACACACAACAAGAAGATGGCATCTTTAATGGTCAATCAGTTTAAATACTCATTGACAATCTTTTTTAATGTTCATAAATCATTTCTACTATACTGGAAAAAAAAACATATATACACCATACGATTTTGCCACCAAACATATGAGGCTTTAGCCTTTAGTACTTGGTGTTTTGTAGTTTGTATACACACGCATGGATTTGTTATCGATGAGAAATAAATTGGAAATGATAGATATGTTATGTGTAGGCTAGTCATGTGAGATGTGAATCTTATGAATGTTATGTAATTTGGACCGTTGCATCTAAATGCATGGAGAACGACCCTACAATCAAACCAGTGCTCGTGGTTCCTCCAACATTGCCCATCACCTTTCTCTTTCACTAACCCAATTAATTCATTTATAGATAGGTGTTTTAGCATTTTGTTTTCATATTATTCAATCCCTTAGTTCCAAGCATTTCGTTACACAAAAAGTCTTATCAAACAGAACAAAGTATACAACACAATCCCCCTAAGAAAAAATGTAGGGAAATTTATTGTTATTTTGGATATTAATCTTATCCGTTTAACTTTTATATATTACACGTGTAAACTTACTCTTAAATAACGTTAAGAGCAAGGGCCAAGCTGTCTGCCTTCGATGGTCGACTTTTATGTCTTTTTGTATATCGAGTGGATTGGAGAAAGCACACCACTTTTCTAGAAATTGCATAATTGAAACCAATACAGCATTGTATGTCTTGAAAAGTTTGACGATCTACCTTTAAAATGAGAATTTGTGTGGCTCATAATAACGTTTCTATATGAAAGTGTATAAGAAGTAATTAAAAAAAGTCCATCTTGAACATTGTCTCCTAAAAGCTGTTGTATCGTCGTCTGCTTGTAAACATATTTAGCAACAACAAAAACATTTTCATACTAGAGTTGCTGTATGAATCTTTAACAACAACAAAACAAATCTTTCCACGAACCACCAACTCAATACTTGAATATTTTGTAAATTCTGTTATTGAGTTTTGAACTTTCTTAAATTGCTCAAACGTTCACAGAGCGTATCCATTTCCTATATTTATGTCCATTATTAATACAGGAATCATATCGATCTGTAAATTGACTAAATTCGCTCCTCCGGGCGGAAGCATAAATTATTATTAATGGGGATTTAGTGAAATAGGCCAAAAACTTAGAATTACAAGAAGAAAAAAACAAAGGGGACATTATTAAAGTTATTTAAAATTTACATGAAGTTTACAAAAAGCATTGGGTCATTTGCCCACCTCTTATATATTGGAACTCGTTTTTGGACAAATGTTTTTAGCTAGTTTCCGGTAGATTTTTTAGACAACTCGTTTGTCGGAATACCTACAAGAAAAAAGTCAATATTGTAACAGAAAATTTGTGTCAAATTATTTTGTAACAATATTCAATTAATTTTGGTTGTTCAAATGACCTGATTTGGAATTACTGGATTACTTGTTGTGAACACTAAAACATAGTTTATTCATATATCTAAACAAAGTTCGTTTCAATGAAAAATGGAAGTCCGACTGAATAGCTTGTAAATCATAAAATATAACATTTGTGAAATGTTCTATTGAAAACATAAGGTGAGATCTCCTAGAATATAAAGTGAAAAAGTTATAATTAAGTTTAAAACCTTAATTACATTTAAGTGTTTTGGAAAAAAAGAGATAATAGAACCGAGTTAGAGTTTAATGATTTGGCAAAATAAGATTAATCTTTGTTGGCTTCAATAATTGTTGAATTTTAGTAAACATTCTTTTGTTACTAATTGAGTTTTGGAGCATGAGAGATTCAACCATGACTTAATGAAGAATAAATTCTCATTAAGCTCATATTATCCACTTTATGGCTCCACTTGGCTATGTAAGTAAAAAGACAACAACAATCTCACATCTTTCATATTTATTTTTTATTTGTTTTTCTTATAAGAGCATCTCCAACCCAACTCCATATTTCACCTTTATTGCCATTTTGGAGTTAATTTTGCTCCAATCCAACCCCATTTCCAATCTCAAAATGGCAAAATGCCATATTTTTTCCCAAAATGAGATTGATCCCATTTTCATTTCCATTTTGGAGTTGAAGTTTTTAATTTATGTAAGAGTCCTTGAAGTTTTAAATTATCAGTTTAAGATATATAATTAATTATTTTGATGTTTATATTTCCTCTAAAATACAAATAACACATATTTAATAGGAAATTTAATTATTTAAGCTAATAATAAATTTAAAAAGAAAGGAAAAATACTTTTATTATAAACAACATCAAAAAGAAATTTATTAAAACACTATTACTGATTTATTAAAAACATTATGGGGCAATTTGTAATATATATAAATATACAATGAATATTTAGTAATTACTAAAAAGTTTTTCAAAAAGAATATAAGTCTTTTTGAAATAAAATATGAGGCAATACATTGGAGCAAAACCTAACTCCATTTTGAGATTTCTTTATTTTGGAAAAAAATATGGGGCAATACATTGGAGATGCCCTAAGAGTATGACAAATACTTGTTTTTGTAAGTTTGTGGTTTGGCTAATGTCAATCATAAAAAGTATATAGTTGTATTCAGAGTCGAAACATCATGCAACCATCCCACTACAAAGTGTTTACAATTTTTTTTTAAAAATAGCATCTTGTCTCTGTAAATCTGTTTTCTTTTTCTTTCTATGGTCAAACTGCAAATCCATTTTCCTAAAATTTTGTTATTTCGAAATCATTTTAGTACAATGTATTGATGTATTTTACTTTATAATTATTAGTTGTCCAATTGTAGTAACTGCATTCCTACATTATAGTGGTTGCGCCACTGTCCGATGGAATTCATTATATTAGAACGACGAAAACAAATTCACGATTTTGGATGAATCTAGTAGAATAACATTATGCTGAAATAATTGAGAAATCATTTCTAAAAGACTGAAAAGAATCAAATTTCACATGAATTTAAGTATTCGATTGGACCGAAAGGAAACTAAATAACTAATTGAGCATAGCATATAACAAAACTGTCAGTCCAAAACAAGCAAAGGTACATTTCATTACAGCCAAACGACCATTTGGACTCAGTCCTTTGCGTAGATTCGTCGATAAGACTCGAAGCAGTAACTTTGAATGAAATTCCACTGGTAAGATATTCATAGGGTTTTGTGCAAAAAAACCAGGCAATTAAATTAAATTTGCAAAATAAATCCTTACTTTATTTTTGTGCAAGTCAATTCTATGAACTCAAAAGTCACTCGCTAAATAGCCATCGTCGACGTGTGTCTTTTTGAACCTTATAAAAAAACTCAAAACACTGCGTTTTGGACATTAAAACGGGATGCAGTTTTGTTCCTCTATGCCGTTTTCCGACAAACCCAAAACACGTGTAATCAAATATTGTCGAGATTTCATTTGGGGAAACTAAAATCGATTTGGGGGAAATTCTAAATTAGGGTTCTTATTTACCTTAAGTAGCTGTCTTATTGGGATTTTGAATCTAAAGAATGATGCATGATCTGGGAAAAGCTTATAATGAATTGAAACAAGGAGAGCCAGCGATAAAGCATTTGTTTGATTTAACCCCTTAAAATCTAAGGTATCGTCTGATCTTCTTTTCAGTTTATACTCCCAATAAGAGGTTTGTTTTCTTTGTCTATCTCAAAATCTGAATGCAAAGTGCTTTTGGCCATATCTTGATAACTAGGTGGTCTAGAGATTGAAGTTGACGTCATTCAATTGGAAAAAAGTTGCAGGCGAGGTTGAGTTATGTAATATTTCATTTAAATATGGTGAAGAGATGCTTCCCATTTAGGATGGGTTGAATCTTCATATTAAAGCAGGAGAGACTATAGCTCAGGTGATTGTGATTGCACATAAACTGGAGACAGTGCAGAGGTTCTTGATGGACAAGGGAAAGCTGGAGGAGTTAAGTTGCTCTTCTCTGTTAAGTACTCACAAGGACTCAGTTTCATCAGCTGGACTTGTCATTTGAGATCTCTATGTATGTAGTATATGATCAACTGTTCTGTAGATAAAGAGAAGACGCAACATTGCTCTTAATGTATACTCACTCATTCAATTATTATTGTTTAAAAATATGACAAAACAAATCATTTGTTAAGCAATAGAAGCATTGTATCAATTGTTATGTCTTTTGATATGTATCAAAACTTCTGACATTGTACATGTAATAACAAATGATCAAATGTGGTTTCTACTCAAAGAAGAATGATTCAACGATTCATGTCGAAGACAACACATTTCCTCCTCTCCTCTCCTTTGGACAGATTCTGTATCTCAGCTTCATCATCAAGTTTGCCCATGTTCCCTAACTCCAATCCGGTTCTACTTCCACTGGAACCTATACACTTGAGTCTAATATGATCCTACCAGATATGAGCTTAATCCGAGCTCATATACCCAACCAAACATTACAAATCGTCAGACATATTACACTGCTTCTCACTGTACCAAACAGGTTCGGAAAGACACGAATAAACAATAAACTGACCGTTACTTTCTCAATCCCACCGTTGATTCTGAACTCAGATACATCACCATTCCACATACCAAATATCAGCTGGATCGGACTTTATTTAAGCCTCCAAAGGATTACTTCAGAACGCTGCAGTGAAACTGTTTTCTGGAAAACTCAAGAATTAGATGATTTCGGTCCAACTTGCATTACGATTTGCAGATTATCTGTACCGCTGATTTGACAACTGAAAGAATATCTGTAAAGCTGGATGTGAGATCTTCAAAACCGTATGTAGATATACTCCTGGTGGTTTACGGATCGTCGGGAAATTGTCTCACAAAACTTTAACCATAATCTGGAAAAACAACCCTGAAACCTTAGAACAAATCCGACGTCCAAAAGGAAATAACCATAACTCTCTGAATATAACACCAACTACCGTGATCTCGGATGTTTTGGAAAGCTGAGAAGAAGATCTTTCCAACGGTATCAATATAAGCCTCTAAATCCTGACGAATCACCAGGAAAACTCCTCGAACTATTCGCACACGTTTCTGATTTTCTTACTTCTTCTTTATCTTCTCTTTGCTGCCTCATTAACTTTTTTCCATTTCTGCAGAACCGTGAACTACGTATCTTCAAAACAAGCCAATTATTCGTTGAAGTGTAGAAATTCGTTAAAACTCGTTCAATTAGAGCAAAGACCAGCAGGATCAGGTTGATAAAAACCTAGAGCAAACTCTTTCAATTAGAGCAAATCTCTCTCTCTCTATCTCTCTCTTTTGCTCTTCCTTCAATATGCGAATTTTAAAGTTTTTCTCACCATGTGAGAATCTTTCAAGCTTTCTGCAAAAAAATTCTTACTTTTCTGGGAATTTTATTAACTTCGTCAAAAACAGACGATGAAATGGGGGTTTGAAGGCGAGAGAAAGGAAATCTCCACATGTTTTGGTTTGTAGGAAAATGGCACAGAGGAACAAAACTACATCCCGTTTTAATGTCCAAAACGCAGTGTTTTGAGTTTTTTTATAACGTTCAAAAAGAGACACGTCGACGATACACGTGATAGCTATTTAGCGGGTGACTTTTGAGTTCAGGGGATTAACTTGCACAAAAAAAAAGTGAAGATTTATTTTGCAAATTTAATTTAGTTGCCTGGTTTTTTTGCACAAAATCCATATTCATACATACATATGTTACTAAATAGATAGAGGAGAGGAGATAATTATTAAACTAGAAAAAAATTATAAAGAAACTAAAAGGCTGCTACTTTCAAAAAGGATGCGTAATCGAAGTTGTACTTAAAATATCTAGTTTTGGACGGACTAAATCTTTATCGTGATTTTATCGACAATGTGGGAATATGATATACTCGACATTTTGACTGTTGATTAGTTCCACAAAGATATATAGGGATAGCCGTATGTGATGCAATCAAAATGCGAGTAGAAGAAGTGTGGTCCACTTTGTTGCGATAGTTTGATGCTCGAATTTTGATGTTCGAATACGTGTGACTTATTGACAAAGAAAAAAAAAGGGTCTAGATCAAAACCAATTTAGAATTTATCAAACAAAAAAACTCAGAACTTATAGGTAGCATATATGTAGAAAGGGAGAAATCAGGGTATGTGTGTAAACGAGAAACAAAAAGTTTTAAACTCGCATAAAATAATCAATAATATAAAATATACTTTTGTCGTTAAGTGAAGTGCTTCGTCGCTTTCGGAAGAAGCCTGCATGTTGGTCTGGTCGATCTTAGATTCGCATTCGTTGAATTTTCTTCAAATCCCCCACTCCATTACTTTTTATGCTAGTTTCGGAATATTTGCTCTGTTTGTCAAATGGTATTTTGATGCCTTGTATAAATATTCCATTATTTACCAGAAAAGGAACAAATTAGAATTTATTGGTTTGTAATCGGCACGTGAATATTATTTGTACCAGCGAAAATGGTTTCTCATTTCTTTAAGATTACTGGGATTATTCGCTGAATCATATAATTAGATTAATCTACATACAGTAGAAAGTCTATAAATTAATAATATGGGGACTTTGATATTTTATTAAGTTATAGATTTTGACTAAAAAAAAATTTTCAAACAAAAACAAAATTCAATATTAAGAACCTTTAATTTTTTTCTTTAAATTAAATAAGAACTTTCCTTTAAACGTATATTTTCTTAACTTTTTAAAATGTTTCTATATTTACTTTATTGTTTATATTTCTCCAATTGTCATATTGTTTAAAATTCATTTTTTCTTCTCTGCTTGTGAGATATTGATACTTTAGTAGCTATATATTTTAGTATATATATATATATATTATGATAATTATTCATTTATGATATTATTGGAACCATATTTTACATAGGAGTTTTAAAAAAAAGTTATTATCTTATTATCTTATCGAATTGTTTCATATTTTACATCGGCCCAACTCGGGACTGGAGAAATTTATTAATTTATCGTATTTATTAATTTATCGAGTATTAATTTATAGAGTTTCTAATGTACTGTATTAGACCATTGAAGCATTTCCAAAGTATCATCCCATTTTCCACTCCACTCCAAAATAGAGTTGGATTTTATCTCTAATGTATAATTATGTTTTCTACTCCAAAAATAAGTATTTCTTTTATGTTTATTTTTATATATGTTCTAGTGAGTCTTTATGGCTAAGGATTTTTTTTTATTTTTTTTATTTTTTTTTATGGCTATGGATTTACTATTGGGTGAGTTGGTTTAATATTACTAAAAATTTTCATAATTTGAAAACTAACCCTGGTTTAATTTTGAAAACTAACTTTTTAATAAGTGAAAAGACAATAAAACCATTATCATTTTCCTATTAATAATGAGAAAAAAAATTCTTATTTAGTTTATGATATATATAAGATATTTTCGAAAATTGTTTATATATTTTTTAATAAATATTTAAAAATACACATGTTATTTTGAAAATATATTCATATTTATATAAAATGAATCAAACTCTATAAATATATACACATAAATATCATTTTAGAACAAAGAAAAACTCACACTTCATTCTTAAAAAAAAATGATGAATGTGTTAAAGTTAACTCATGTTCTATATTTATGACATGTTAAATTTCAAATAAGATCTTCTAAATATCTTTTTGTTTTCTTGTTGTAAATTTTATTCAGATTTTATGGGAATATCCCACACTGAAGTTTTTTTCTTTCTTTTTTTGTTATATAAAATAAAAATAATTGTTTATAATTATCTTTATAACTTTTTTTTTACAATTTAAATAATTTTTAAATAAGATAAACGAAATTTTAAAACAATTTTAATATCTAAAAAATTGAGGGTATTTTAGTAATTTTAAATATTAGAAAGATTAGTTTACCAACACTTTAAAAAATGGTTAGTTTTCAAAATATGATTAATTTATGTAATATTGGTCCAAATTTCTTCTTTACTATTCTAGTTCTTAAAAGTTTAGATGTTCACTTTTATATCCTCTTGTGTAGAGTGTAGAGAGTGATCTCAGTATCTCACATAGATTTTTTTTCTTTCTAAGAATCCAAAAGTTTACCAAACTCCTCCATCTGATTAATTTGGTACCACCCTGACGTCTGGTCCAACCCTTTTGTTTTTTAGATAAAAGAGGTCCAACTTTTTGAACAATATTTTTCTTATTGTCCTGAGAAAGTGGAGTGAACTGATATCCACGTTTTGGGAATGGAGATCGCGATAAAGTCACGAGGTGAACAAAATGATGCTTTTAAAAACGGGACCGTGAACATGCATCGTATGATGACTAACTAGAATAAGACGTCGTAAAGCAATGTTTGTTATCAAATCAAATGCTAAACTAATTAATAATTAAATCGTTACCGCTCGACATCGATGGTGCATGCTTAAAATCAAGTTTGAATCCGAATTAGTAGCATGGTGTCATCACTCTTACGAAACCACTAGATAAATTATAAAGTACTGAATACACTTTAGTCAACTAGTTTTAGTGATAGGATTCCTATAAATATACTCTCAAGAGTTTCTTTAATTTTTTTTTTCAATAATGATTTTTGTAAAAAAAAAAAAAAAATTACACCTAATCAGATTAGCGAAACATGTCAAAGAAACGGTTTCCATATATCTTCCAGAAAAAACGTCTCTCTCTCATTCTCACCACCTAGATAATTTTTTTTTTTCTTTTAAACTAAAGAAACCCACATATTTTTTTCCTCTGAATACACTTAGTTAAGAAAAAGTGCATATACACACGCATAGGTGGATAATAACGTATTACATATGCGTAACCAAAATCTATAGATAGATTAACGAAAACCAAAAAACAATTAAGACAAAAATAAAGATAATGGAAAAGATGATTTCTTTTGGCGTCTAATGAAGACAAGATCCATAATCTTTGCAATCTTGTTCACTAAATCCTAAGTACTTTTGTTGTGTTCCACAAATATTGGAACCAAGACCATAACCAAAAACCAAAGGCATATCTTCTTCTTCACCTTCCACCATTTCCCATGAAATCAAAGCCTTTGTCTACTTCCTGGTTACCGAGGAACAAAATACAATAACCCAATCTCCGAGGCTCTCTCAAAAGCCAGTTGAACTTGAAGGCGTAGTAACCAATATTTCAAAGGCCAAGAAGAATATAGTAGACCAACGTTATTGGTAACGCTATTAACATCCCAAATATTACCCTGCATCCATTTTCACCATCACATCAACAAACATATAAGTATGTCAATATTATTTGACCAAAATAACATAGTAAGTAAGTTTGGAAACTTACGCAGTGCTGAGAATCGTGGGATGCACATTGTACTCTTTTGCAAACACAAACGGAACTATTCCTTGAGGCAACGCAGCCTATCATAAAGAGAGACATTCACATTGTTATCATGTATTTATCAGGAGTATATTATAAACCAAAATCAATCAATATATATATATATATATATATTTTTTTTTTTTTTTTAATACCTGAACGATGGCTATACGGAGGAGGTCACCGTGTAGCCCAATGGCCAGTGAAGCAACAGCCATGATGGCAGGACCGGTTAAAAATCTGACAGCCATAGCAAACGTGGCTACT